CCCTAGCAAAGACTGATAATTACATGCCCAAGGACTGATCAAGATAAACAAGAGAGGTGAACATTAATCTGCTCTCTACCTCTTAAAGATAGGACTTAACAGAAAACATTGAATGAAGTGGAAATATTATGACTGAGTGGATAGGCCACAGGATCCTTGTTCTTCTCATCACAATTTTTATGTACTGCTAAATCAACAAAGTATCTGTGCTTCAGATTTATTATCATACATAAAATATAGCACCTACTGACAACAGTGCAAGTCTTGTCCTCGCTCTTTTCCAAATATTAAAAAAAAGCAACCCCCTCCCATTAAGTACCTGGATTTTGTAGACAAGCATGTTGTGTTTTGTAAACTACAACATAAAGAGTAACATCATAGATGTGTCTAAACTACCTAGTCATCAAGAGGAAGTACAGTACAGCCCAAATTTTTTTTTTTTCTGTGATTACGAGTTGCTCCAAAATCATATACCCAAGACAAGAACTTTGACAAGCATGCAGTTTTTCATCAAGTTTGTAATGAGAATGCTTCCCACAGAATCCATATGGGTCATGAATGAAAAGTAAAACTAAAACAATACATAGTTTACATACACTTACTCAACATATCATAGATAATAAAGGGTAGTTCATATATTTAAACATAATATGCCAAATTCTCAATGCTTTCACTAGACAAGTTATTACTTTGAAATTCACTTACCCTCAATTCACTAATAAAAAGTTTTATCTGAAGTCCAATCAAATTATAAAGGCATCTATTAAACATCTTGGCATCTTGGTTTACAATAACATTAAAGCTTCTGGAGCAAAGCTAAAAATTTGCAAAATGTGTGTGTGGTGGGGGGGTACTTGGGCTTTTTTAGTCAAGGTTAGCTCAGCTGCGACAAGCAGCAATCTCCTATAGGTGAGTACCTTTTTCACTTTCACTATCTAAGCTCTTTTGGGGAAGACAGATCTCCAAATATCAGAAAGGTATAAATCTGTATAACACTGGCCTGTGAAGTCAGCTGATAAGCCACTTCAGTATCTTCATTAATGCCTGGAATGTTATTAGCAGCGGGGAGTGAAAACTGATGGAATACTTGCTCATTTCTCTGCCTCTACTACATAAAGCACTGTCAGTTCCAGCAAAACCACCAGCGGCTTTTCCCAACAGGAAATTTTTCACTTTCTTGCTTCTTGTGAGGGAAGAAAAAAAGACTGAATAACACTAACAGAATATTCCAAATGAATAATATTAGCAGGATCAGATAATGAGAAGAAGGTATATTCACTCTCATTACAGCTGAGAACAGGGAAAATGCCTGTCTTTCCACTTTAGTGCTGAACCTGATCTGTCCTCCTTAATTCTTTCCATCCTTTATGTTTAAGCTCCGTCCAATACATCTTTTTTTCTTTTTACCTATTTATACTATCAAGGTTTATGTCTTTTGTATAAGCAGGGATCTGACAGAGGATAGGAAGTATAAAAAGCGATGGATGGAGTGAATTCACAAAAAGGTATTACGGTCCCTTGGAAGTAAAGAGTTATTTTTGGAAAGATGAGAGGCAAGAAAAAAGCAATACAGAAAACAACACTGTAAGAACATGATGTAGAAAGACAAAAATGTGAGGTGAAGGCAAGTAAGAGGAAATCAAAGATGGTTCAGGGATGACATGCTATTGATCTAATACAGGAAACAGAATTAAGAATGGTCTAAAGTCAGAAATGGAAAGAAGGAATAATAAAAAACGTAAGAGAGCAACAACTGATATATTCTGGAACATTACCACCTTCTTATTTTATAATTAGCTGTCACAAAGATCAACGTGTTCTATAAAACTGCACCTACTTAGGCAACACACTGGTGAAAAATCATTTTGTATTTTCCTCAGGCTCAAAGTATATGATATGATACCAGGCTTGGAAGGAAGCACGGATGTCAGCATCACATAACTGTTGCTTGATATAGGGGCTAACAACTGGGGTCGTAAAAAGAAGCAAAACAAAACCTTACTGGTAAACACCTATGGAGAGAACAGCTCAGACAACTCCTGGAGGCAACATCATATACACGCCTGCCCAGAGTGCTTTTACACAAATTTGTTACCATCAACTCTGTAAGATTTTTACCGCAGCTTTTGATTTGTGCCAGCAGCTCTTAACTGTCATGAGTACTAAAATTCACCCAAAGATATTTTTGTCTAGAAATGTATCTAGGAAGAGGTTATTTCCAATAACAGTACAGGCAGCAAATAATTCATTAACAAGACAGAACAGAACTATTCCTCATAGCATTCTGCATCTCATAAAGGGGGAGAAAATACAACGTTCTCATGTTAGGGGTTACAATATAATGCATAAGAACTGTATTTATTGTAACAAATTTTTTCAAGGGAGTTTCTTCAGACAATTTCCCCTTTGACTGTTAGGAATATTGTATGGCAAACATCTCCAGACTGAAAAGGTAATGTATTAATTTAAATAATCTTCCCCCCTCCCAATAATAGCCAGGAAAACAAACAAGGCTGTGGAATATATGTGGTAGGAAAGTATTCAGTGGGGCAAACAATTAGAGATACATTAATAATACAACATAATATTCAATCTGTATCATTAAGCTACAGCAAAAGCCAAAGAAATACTCTGAAGCACTGACAACGCCAATGCCTAGTTTATTGCTATTGTACATTCTAATTTCTTGCAACTGTATAGATGTTTAAGAACTCTACAAAAAGCAAAAGACAGCAGTTGTGCTATGTGTAAAATGGGATGTTACAATGTGAAGCAATGACCATATGCTGTTGTGCACCACTGAGTTAAAATGACATCTTTCTGTAGCAGAAATGAACACAAACCTTTCACTTTTGATGTTGATACTGGACAACTGGTAAATAAACTTTTCTCTCAACAACCTCTTCCTTGATCATAATATTACTACTTCCTGATCCTTCATTTTCTTCAGAGGTATCATTTTGGGATTTGCAGGGACAGAAAAGACCTCAGCATGAGCAGGTGGTTGCCATAACATCACTTGACTGCATGCTCAGGAAATACGTGCCAGATCTGTTATGGCATTAGTAATCTCAGTCTCCAAAAATCTACATATAAGGACTCTGTCTTCCTTTTTGTTCCATTCCAACCTGGAATTGCTCAGTTCTGTTTTCATGAACTTTAATGCGAGAAAGACTTTCTTCATACTATAGTTACTAACTTGGTAATAATTTCAGGGAACTCCTTTCTACGACCCAGACTTTCAGTTCAAATGGACACATGTAAGTCTTGCATGTAATTAGAGGACAACATTTTGAGATTTGTTTCTAATCCCACAGTCCACATTATTTAAACAGATTCTTTATGACAGTTCATTTCTGGTATTTGGGAAAACAAGCAGGATGAAACGTGCACAGGAGTGGTACATTTCTGTAATTAAACTACAAAGCTAAAAAATAACTACAAATTTTGTCCTGTCTTGTGTTATCTACACTGATGGTTGATGGTCTCTTTTTTTATTTTCAAAATTTTAACTAACCTCTTTTCCTTCCCTCTTTTTCCAGCTTGTTTAGAAAACTCTACCTCCTTTGCTAAAAAATTTTGAAATATTTTAAGGGATGTACTAAGTTACACCGTGAATCCACCACGTTCATTTTGTAGTGTTAGCAATTGTTCTAACACTTTACAGTAGATTTTAAATGAATGAATTTTCTTTTGCCATGACAGCATTGAAACGGATCTCTGCTGTCACCAACCCATAAGAAAGCTTGTATGTACCTAGGAAGATTTAACAAAGAGATTCAGCTACTGATAACTGACAAATAGACACCCATTAAAAGAGATACAAAAATTCATAAGCACTTGTTCTACTTTTGTGGTTAGTGTCGAATAGTTTACTGACCTTCGAAGCGGAAAATTCCCAGTCCCTAATGAGACTGGAAAATTGTGATGTACTAACTCAAGCCATTAAATATATAACATAATATAATTACATAAAACAATAAGGAGGATCATAGCCTGTCAGACAACTGTTCTTTGCCTCATGAGAGGATACAAGATGGAGTAGCTGATTTTCTTCTGCCATCAAAAACATATCCCAAATAACTTATCACCTGCTAGGATCAAAATGTTTAATTCATTTACTCCATTACCCAAGTGAACTCTCTTGAGAATTAAGCAATAGTTTCCCTGCCTCATATGGACTAAACCTAAAAGCTTGGTAAACACTAGTTTTATCTCACAAACCATAATTTTTAATTGCTAACACACATAGGAAGGGCATAATCCTCCACTGATGATATCATAGTCTACTGCCATGGAAATGACTGCAATATCATAAACACAGGTTTGAGATGACCTCACTTTAGTAGGAAAGAGGGAAATTTCAGTGGAATGTGAATGACATTGGGAATAAACACATAAAGATACTATACAGGGAAAAAGGATGGTATACAGGGGAAAAACCCTATTACAGTAGTTGGTTAAAACATGGACGATGAAGATGACAGCTAGGAGTGCAGTTGAACAGAACAGAGATTCTCCTGACTAAACATCATATTACTGATTTTGAATTACAGAGCTCCCTGACCACATGCAGGGGTTCTACTCCATAAATTCGCTACACCAGGCAGGCATGAAATCCCTGCCCTGACAGGCTTACAGTTTAACCACATGAACATGAACAAAGTATGGCTATAATAAGAGAGTGTAGGATTATAGAACAACATTATAGCTGGAATGTTTCCTAGAATGAGTAAGTACTTAAGAAGTGGGAGGAAGAGAACTGTACAGTTTCTTCAAGCATACAAAATAACATGAATTTAGACACAAATTCAGAAGTAAGATCTCAATGCGGCGAGCGTTAAGTATTTTGGCATCAACTCAGAAAAACACATATATTCAACCTTCAGCTCTTAAGTACTCTGAGAGGCGTCAAACAACTCAAGGACTGAAGTTAAAACTTGTGTGTAAGTTTTGTACTGCAGTAAGCCTGGAATGCTGAGTACTGTGCAAGACCCTACCTTGAGAAAATAAGCCTGAGCGGAGAAGAGGGAGTGTAGAAATGTAGAAGGCGATAATGATCTCTTAAGCAGAGCCTTTCATCTTGAAGGATCTCAAAGCAATTTACAAACTTCAACGGCCCCAGACACTGCAGCTGGTAGGAAGAGAAGCAGACATCTGGGAACTCATTCATGGGAAGGAGGAGGTAAAAGACTACTTACTGGGTGCCATATCTCCAAAATGCTGTTGCTGGAAGAAGAGATCAGGACTAGAAAAGAGCTTTTCCCTGAACCTTGCAATGCAGCCATGTGAGAAAACTGCAGACAGTGAGCAGGCAGCCAGAGCTGGCAGAAAGAGAGGCAGAAAAGCAGGGGGACAGCTGGGGAGCTGCCAGTATGTGACAATCCTAAGATTGCAGTTTCCCTGCCTTTTATCTCAACCCCAACTCCATACCGTTCTGCACACTTTCTGCAGTAAAACCTCATGTCTCACCTATTATTTTTGCGCTTTTTAAAACTTTGCTCCAACTTCTCTTTACCTTTTTTCTATCTTTCTACAAAGTAGACTCTCCACCCATAATCTCCAAAACGCTTTCCAAATGCATAGTAAGACAAATACCAGGTGCTGCCTCTGGGTTACTGGGAAGCCAAAGAAATGACTTCAGCTATGGCATTCATGCAGTACAGCCTGACTGTAATACTATGGGGACTATGAGTTTTCAGCTCAAAATCACTACCAAATATATACCATTAAAAACGCCAACGGGATAAACAAGTTTAAAAAACCAAGAGTCATGTTAGCTATTGCTGAAATGGAACTGCTTCTGGAAGGAAAGACAGTGCCTAATTATAGGTCCCAAAATGAAGACACCAAATGAAAGAGCAGGGAGATTTTAAATAAACGGAGTCCAGAAAGCAACACTTTTGCTGCTCTTAAGTCAAACGACATCGTGCGGTCAGTTTCACATTTATATTTCCCAAGACTCTGAAAGCTTCTAAAGCTTCATTTAAGAAGGAAAAATAAAAGTTTTTACGGATAAGAGCCAAAGACAGGTGTCGAGCAGGTGTTCTACACACCACCAGTGCTTCTTAGATATGACCCATAGCATCCTCTGTTACACAAATGAGAGTTTCTTTCACAGAGTGCCGGCTGTGATCAATGGCACACCGTTTCTCACTTGGGGTTCATAAGCTTGGTTGCAAAAGCAGCTTTTGTAATGGGTTAAAAAAAGTGATTGGTGGCCTTAGCCTAGATATTTTGTGTTAAGTAACATCCAGACAGATGTTTTCTCCCCTTTTCCCTCTTTCATATTTTGTCATCTCTTGTTGAATGAACTTTGCCGAAAGCTTTCAGCTCCAGACACTAATATCTATTATTTTTAACACATTAAAACATTAAGCTGTAGACTGCTGTCACACCCTAAAATATACTGGTCACACAGATGTTGGGAGTGGGGCAATTTAATGACTGTTCACAGTAGTCAAAACCTCTTTTGACCTGAACGAGCTTTGGAGCAGGCCCCACACTACGCAATAAATGTCTGGGCCGTTTCTGATATTGAAAAGCTGTATGTGAACAGAACACAATTTTCTTACTGAAATTCAATACTGAAGATTTCATCAACTTGTTTTTTTACCCTGGGCGGGGTGGGAGGAAGGGCTACATAATGCTTTCCGTCTGCCAGGCAAGAGAAGGCAGAGGGAAGTTTCTCCAAACCGTGTTTAGATCCTCTAAAAGAATCAAGGCAGAACAACAAAACACTGAGCCTGCGTGTCTTGCATTTACTATACACCTAAACTTTGCTAGGTCAGAGAAGATGACAAGGGAATAGTACAGGCTCTGAAATCAAGCCCAGATTTTTCACTATTACATAAACCAAACAGCTCACAGATGACACATTCTCTCATGCCTTGATGCCTCCTCTGGATCCAAAAGATTAATTTCCTCAACTGGACTAAGCTTGTATTCCTTCGCAGTTGTGCTTTCCCATGCTGCTGGCAATGGCAGTTTGACTAGAATGAGGAGTGGCTGCTGCAGGGGAAGCATTACAGCTAAAAAAAACCCACACAAATGAAGTGGATTTGAAGGATTCTAGAACACTTCTCTCTGCTGCTAGGAGAAGTTGAGGAGCAGAAAAAAATAAAAGCATGAAAAAATATTAAAAGGTGGTGACTGTACATGCATGAGAAAAGACGGAAATGAGAACACATGGAAGAAATAGACCTGGAAACAAAGCTAAGAAGAAAAAGTCATACGTTAAACCTTCTCTGCTTACTCAAAAAAACAAACATAAGAAATTTCCTTTCCATATTCCCACAGAAAAGTGTAAAATTATAGTCCCAGATATTACACTTTAAAAAAAGACACAGCTTAGGAGCATGTACATTTCCATTCTAGAAGAGGCCAACGAACCGCTTACTTCAGCACCTCAGCCACCAATAACCACCACTAGGGGTTTAAGATGTAGAATCTCACTAGTGGAGATACCTTTGCCATTTTACACAAGCGGAGATTTAGCCTGATAGCAAGGAAGGCAAGCTGTGCCAGTCTTTCCTAAGTCTAGAGACATTAGTGTCCTAATGCATCTGTAAGGCTTCACGCTAGGCTACTCTGGGATGGTAATTCTAGATGTGCATTTGTCACTATCGTTCGCTCCAGTCTGGCAACATACTGCTTTGTATCTCAGTGCTTTCTCTGCTATGTCTTTCTTTTCTTGCAGAATGCCTTCAGACAATCCGTTTGCTTGTTGTAACAGTTATAAACGACAGTGGTTACAACAGGGGGCTGAATGCCAGAACTTTTAGTTCTACTCCCAAGAGGGAATGAAGCAATCCGAGGGAAGGAAAGAGGTCCACTGAAAACTAAGACTTCACCTTTTCGAAGTGCTAACAAACATACAGTTTTCCAGTATTCGGGCTGTGGCCTCATTCTCTTAAATTAAAGTGAAAAACTGTTGCTGTTGTGATTATCCAAAGACTTTTTTTCCATCTTACATTTTGTTCTTTGTTTTTGCAGTTTTCAATTGCCATGCCAAAGTTTCTCTTGTTTATTCTAATTGTTTTAGTGTGTCTGACTCTCATTGGTTTATATGTTTAGTCTTGTCCTGATTTAATATGAATTAAAATGCCATTGCCACGACCAGTCTGCAAATGTGAGTCAGAGCAGAAACTATTTAAATAATACTATGGATGGTACCTGTCTGGTTTGATATCTAGATCATACGGAATAACGCTGTTTTTGTTTTCTACTACTATTGCTTGCTATTGCCAGTGAAGTGTTGATTGTGATTGTGACCACAAATATGTTTTGTTCCTGGTCCTATTAAGCCAAAAGAGTGTGGTTTACTGCATGTATGTACGTGAGGTTGTTTTGATTATACTAAATTCACTTTGGAAAACCCACATTCTGCTATGTCTGCAGCGCTACAGGACAATAAAAAAATTATTCTTAATGAGAAGAATATTTTTTAAAGCAAACCACTGGGCCCCTTCCCTGTAACAAAATGTAAAGACACATCATGCCTTCTTCTGAATTTGATTATTTCTAAAAATTACATCTGAATACTATCTTCAACAGAAGGTAGTACCTTTCTCTTTCCTTCTTATTCATCATATAAAATGGCATAGCAAATTTAAAATTGTACATTTCTATTTCACACAGTAGTTACGCTTCTTTAAATCGCGAGTTTACTGTGTTGAGCAAAAACATTACATGACAATTTTTTTTACTGGTGAATCTGGCTACCATATGTCCAATGGCAGCTTTAAGCTTATCTTTCAGATTTTTAGTACCTTTCCTGTAAAGACCTAGGAACGTTTACCACTTTGTCTGCCACTGTTAGCTTCTAGTTTTCCAGACAGAGGGCCAAGACTGCATTCTATCAGTTTGAGTTATAACATAACTCAAACTAGCTAGCTGGCAGAGCCTCAGCCAATGCGATTATCTTCTAGGAAAGATAGGTTTGACTAGTGAATAAGCCTACCAAACACAATGTGTCAAAAATTTGCCTGGCCTCCCTAACTTGCATGACGTTCACTCCTAAGGCAATCTACTCCATCTCTTCCAAACGGACGGTAGACAAGCACTTAACACGATCATTGCTCTCGGTGCCTTTCCTTACTGAAATACCAGCATGAATGACAGAAAACTTACGCTCTTTGGTCCCTGCTGAAATGAACCCTAGCTTTAAACCTAGAATATACAGCTCCTGCTAAGTCTCAGACCTAAAAACAGTCAAGAGGGACCCTACTGACATCAATCCTAATCATAATCTGGCCATTTTTACCACATCTAAGAGTGCTTACTCATCGTTCTCTGCTGGTCATAGCTTTGTTCCCCACCTAGGGGCATCCCAGCCTGCAGTTCAAGATTTTCAGGTAATCTTACCAAGATTTTTGTATCACAGGATACATGTAAATTACGTCTACATTGTTACTAGGTAGACTTTTCAGTCAGACTGAACTCTTGTCAGCTAAATTTAAATCCACTGTTTTCCCTAGTTTATGAAGTGCCTGACGTCCTGCGTTATTAACAGAAAGAATGAGGCAGTCCATTCTTTTCAGTTGAATCAAATTAGCTTATCACTAATAAAAAGCCCTTCACTGCTCCTTAAAGTACAGGCTAATAACAGTGAGTCAGATACATTCTTCCAAAAGCATTTGTACCATTTAAGAAACCCTCTCAGCTGAGTGAAAAGAGAGATAGCCTTCTTTCAGCCACTGAATCTTAGTGTAACAGCATCTATGGCTACAACCCGCATTTTAATCTCCATCTACAGTAAGGCCAGTTAACAAGGCTTTAAACAAACGATCATATTTCTATCAGATGAAACTAGCAGCCAAAAACATGGGGAGGTTTGTATGCATCTTTTTTTTTAAACGTCAAGAAAGAACTCAAAACTGCAGCTGTCAGTAGCGTTCAAACCAGTGGACAATTTTTTGATCTTTTTTCACGTGTTACTGGGACAGTGAAAGGAACTTCTTGAGGCTGAAGCACCACATTTTGTATTTCAGCATACGTCACAAGCACCTGATCACTCACGTATATATGCCAATATCAGTTCTACAAGATCTTACTCTGACTTACAAGACAACTATTCTCCTTGGAAAACTGCCAGCGTGTTCTGCAGGTTACATAAAGCACTCAATCTTTCTGACACAGGTTCTATGAATATTTAAGTTTTTTATTGTTTTTGGAATGCATGTCTATGCCTAAATTGCACTTACTCCTCAGAATATTCTTCTAACCATGTATTCTACACTATCTTGACTCACAGGCTTTGATATAATTGTCTGCTGATTCAGATTGAGAAATTGTTTGTGTCTTTTACTGCAGAATTCCCAGCAGGACAAGCTGATGCATTCCAGACAGATATATTTTTAAATCCTGTTTTAACTAAGTCTGCATATACAGTTTTGAAACAGATGTGTTTAAAATAGTGCAAATCAAGGACCGGCTTGCAAGTTTACTGGTACTGACAAAGTCAGGCAGTTTAGGTTAGTATTTGCATCACTGCCAACCCTTGCAACTTTGTTTGAAGTCTTCCGATATATAGTATTTATTATAAAACCCAGGCTGCTGGAATCAAGAGCATTCATGAGCTTCTTTACTTCCATTTTTAAAAGTTTCTAAACCTTACCTATGTGGAAAAAAATGGAAATGAAATCTAAGTGCCTAAACCTAAAAGCAAAATGCCTAGAAGAGGAATCAAAAGGAATGAACCCTTCCTTTAAAAAAGAATTCCAGAATTTTGAAGCCAGCTTTGGGGTGCAGAGGGGTTTTTCTTCTTTTTTTTTTTTTTTTGAGGTCTTCCCTATTGCACTTCTGGATCTGTACAGATATGAATAGAGGAGGCCTTTTCTCTCTGTGTCTCTCTCTCCTCTTTCAAAGTGTCAGATAAAACATAGTCTGCAAGTAATCAAATTACCTACCTACCTACCATGGAGCTAACTCCAGCTTCTTTACAGTATTAAGCTTTCTCTTTTGCTTTTCTAGCAAGGACAAGTACTTTGAACTGAGAACAAGTTACAGTTTACCAATTTTATTTACCCTCTTGAAATCGTTTCAAGCTCCTCTACCGATAAAGAGTATCAGACTTCAAGACTTCCTATGCAGATTGCTACAAAATGCTGCTTTTCTCGAAAAGACAGCGCCGAGGCACCTAGCACAGCTGAAAACACAAACCCAAATCTCTCTTCTCCCTAAAGTTACAGACAGCTGATCAAAGCCCCAGCAGACAACAGGTCCAAACTCCTCTCGTTCCCACAGACTTCTTTCGAAGTACTATTCGCAGGGCTGACATCACCCGGGACCCGCCGCCCCCACCGGCAGCGCGGCTTTGCGGCCCTGCTCCTTCCCCCTGCCTACGTCGCAGCCAGCTCCCGGCTTCAGCTGGCTCCATCCAAA